AAATTTGTCTGACTTTTTTACATAGGGGGATTTTATGCATAGTAAATTTTGGGGTTTAGATGTTTTCCTGGAACCTAATCTATCACATTCCCCCCCAAATCTCTGCATGGAACATGAGGGTTATCCTTGGGAAGGTTCTTTTTAGAAATGGTCTGGGAAATGCAGTTAGGCTTTTTTCAGTGGGGAAGTAGCTCAGGAAATTTTCTGTATTCAGCATTTGATAATGACTACTAAAAAAAGTTCTTATATTTAAATGACAATTGACAGCTTAAGAAAGACAGGTTGGATCCCTGTGCCTATCTTCAGAAGCTTAAAGTTAAAGAGATCAAGTAATTCTGACTGAAATCCATATTAAAAAAATCTGGCTAATGTGGGAAATAGATTATAGAGTCTGATCACAGGCTTTATGCAGAAATTGGATTTCATCTATATAACGTGAATTGCACAAAGCAATCTATCCAACAGGGGAAGAATCTGACAGTACTTAGAAATTTCATTTGGAAGGGTTTGAAAACATTGGGTATTTCAGTTCATTTTAAGTGACAGATGAATTGGAGAAGCTAAATATTTGATATCAAGGATTTTTTAATTGAACAATTATATTAAATTATTTAAAAACTGTCTCAGGCAACTTTGGCAAAGCTGTAGGGCTTTGAATCAATTCTGTTCTTTGCAGAGCATTCTGTTTCTATTCTGGATTGGTGAGACATTGAATGTTTGTGAATATTTCTGGTCTCTACTGAATTTTGATTGAAAAAGAATAATAGACATTTTGATACTATGTTTTTTTCCCCCTCTTGGGTCTTTTGGCCTTTCCAAAATAGATCTGTCGATTGAATTAAATCTTTCACTGAATGCTTTCTAGTTCAAGAGCTTATACTTGAAGAAGCATGACAAAATGAGTAAAACAAGGTCCCTGCTCTTAAGTTATTCAGTCTAGGGGTAGAGGCATCTTTCTATTGCCTGTTGATTATCACTATCTGAAATTTCTGTATCTTCTCAAGTTTATTCTGTCCCAAACTGAATTTAATTCCCCTCTTGGTTCACATTAGTGATGAAATATAGACGTCATTCTTGAAGCCTCTTTTTATCAACCCTTCACACTCAGTCATCAAATTCTTTCAATCTGTCTCTTCAATATGTCTAAAACTTTGTTTTTATTCTCATGTCTAAGGACATAGTTATTGTTCCTGAATTATAAAAATAGTCTCCTAAATAATTTCTGCGTGCATGTATGTATATAAGTATAAAGTTATCAACTATCTTTTCTTAAAGGTTTTGTCCTCATTTTAACTAAATTTTTATTATTGTTCACTTGAGAAATAATGCTTGATTATGATGCAAATTTAAATAGAAATATAAATGATAATGACTCCAGTTTCTTAAATGATTATGAGGCTCATGTGGTGTTCCCATGGCTTTATGCACATTCATTCATTCTCACAATAATCATGTCAGGTGAGTACTATTAGTATCTGCATTCTAAAGTTAAGCATATAACATTTAAAGGTTTACTTTTTATAATAAAATATAATTTTTTATGAAAATAGTTTTTATTTTTCTTAGTAGGCAAGTAAAGTATTTGACTCTTTTAGACTAATTCTAATGAATTGCTTGATTGATTAATTGAAAGTTAGCTGAAATGCAAAGTCAGGCAACCTGTGTTTGACAGTGGCTGCCTTTGATAGATTCTTTTCCCTGATTATGTCTGTCATTAGAAAGATAACTCTGACAACAGTTATACAATGTTTTATTGAATATTCTACCGCATGGCAGGTATTCCCTAAGTTTTTGGTCAGTAAATGAAGCTGAAAGACTAGTTGATATGCTGTTATATAGATCAGGAGTGATGAGAACTCAGAGAGAGTGGAATTTCATATGAAAAGGAGAAGGCAGATATTATGGGCCTATAGAGATAAAGTGATCAAAATCTGGTGATAAAAGGAAGTGCCCAAGGAACTCTGGAACTTTAAAAGCAACTAGGAGAATAGTAATGTTGCTGGTACAGCAGGATGACGATTTTCACAGGCATCTGAAATTGATAGAAGCTTTGGATGTTTGAGTCCAATAACACAATAGTTTCGTCTGTTTATTTTGTTCATTTTTGAAGTGATTATTCTTTATTTCAAGAAATTAATGCAGGTTTCTCCTAGTTGTGTCATACTTTCTAAATAACTTCCAGTCCCCATCCCACTATCAGTATCTATTAAAGGAAAGTCTCTTATAAAAATAATCTAGACTAGCATGTTTTTTTCTTACCGGCATTAATACTTTAAACAGACGTTTTGATTGCAGAATTGTATTAGTGTGTACAGCTTAAACCAACACGCGTTTATTATCTCAGAGTACAGCTTAACTGGGTCCTTTGCTTAGGGTATCATGGCCCACAATCAGTTGTTGTCCAGGTGCTCTGATATTGGGTGTCTATTTATTTACATATGATGAATCCTCTTGATGAATTGACCCCTTTATCATAAATAATGACCTTATTTGCCTCTTGTGACAGTTTTTAACTTAAAGTCTGTTCTGTGTGATAAGTTTAACTACTCACTTTTTGCTTTTTCTATCCCTTCGTTTTGAGCCTATGTATATCCTTAAAGCTGAAGTGAATGTCTCGAAGGCAGCATATAGTTGGATCTTGTCTTCTTGTTTTTTAATCCATTCAGCCACACTATGCCTTTTGACTTGAGGATTTAATACATTTAAAGTAATTACTTACAGTTAGGGACTTACTAATGTCATCTTATTATTTTATGGCTGTTTTGCAGTTTTCTTGTTCCTTTCTTCTTCTTTTGCTGTCTTTCTTTGTGAATTGATGGTTTTCCAAAGTGAAATGCTTTGATTCCCTTCTCTTTATCTTTTAACTGTCAGTTGCAGATTTTGCCTTGTGCTTAACCATGAGACTTGCATAAAACATCTTATGTTTATAATAGTCCGTTTTAAGCTGATAAGTTAACTTTAATCACATATGAAAAAAATCTACCCTTATACTCTCTCCTCACATTTTGTTTGGTGTCCTGTTTTACCTCTTTTTATATTGTCTATTCATTAAAATTATTGTAGCTGTATTTATTTTAATACTTTTCTTTAAACATTTTTTATTAGTTAAATGATTAACACAACACCATGTTATAGTATTAGAGTATTTGAATTTGATAATATACTTACGTTTATCAGTATGTTTTATGTTTTCATATCATTTCATGTTACTAATTAGAGTCCTTTCATTTCAGCTTGAAGAACACCTTTCATCATCTTGTAAGAAAGGTCTAATGGTGATGAACTCCATTCCTGAAAGGCAACTTTTCCAGGTAAAATATTCTTGTTTGGTAATTTTTTCTTTCAACAATTTGACTCTATTAATCTCACTCTCTCCTGGCCTGCTGGGTTTCTGCTGAGAAATCCACTGATTTATTTATGGGGTTTCCCTTATATATGAATTAATTTTTCTCTTGTTAACATTTCTTTCTTTTTTTTTCAACATTTTTTAGTTGAGTAATAGTCATTTTACAATGTTGTGTCAAATTCCAGT